TGTAACTCTTTATATGTTTAGCATTATTGTTAACGAGGGAGCTCCTAGTCAACGCCAACGAGGGAGCTCCTAGTCAACCCCAGCAAAGTTCTACGGATTTTAAAAAAGTTCATTGGATTTACTAAAAATTTAATCACATTTGAGAAAGTTCATCAGTTTTAAAAAAATAATCATAAAACTTGAAAATTTTCAACAAATTTGATAAAAAGTTCATCGAAATTGCAAAAAAGTTCATCAAATTTGAAAAAGGTTCATCAAATTAGAAAAATGTTCATCAATTTTAGAAAAGTTCATAAATTTGAAAAAGTTCATTAATTTAAAACGAGTTTAGAGAAAAACGAGTTTTAATACATGCATTTTAAAAGAACAAAAAGGAAAAAGAAACCTCAATAAAAACCGCCCACGCAATGACCACGAACCAGGGAAAAACCCGGTTTGGGAAGCTTCTGGAAGCTTCCCAAAACTAAGGGATTCCCACGGTTGTAGAGAACAAAGAAAGCACAACAAATCATATTCAACTAGTATTTTGATGGTGTAGTGGTTATTGATCGCGAGTTCGACTCCGATTAGTCACTCTGTGCATTTTAAAACCGAACCGAAAACCAAAACCAAAAATAAACCAAACCAAACCGAATTCACGATTTTTATGGTTTCTGGTTTCGATATGGTATGAACTTTTCATACCGTTTTGAATTCCGGTTTTTATGGTATATAGCGTAAAACCGAATGGTTAACCGAATAAACCGAAATAAAAAAATATTTCTTGAGGCAAACAACAATACAAGTAGTCATTTTTCTTGTATAAGAATAAAATTTCCTGCAAAGAACATCCATTTTTTCTTGTAACATAGTAATTTTTCTCTTGCAAAAATGCTAACCACGTCGTCCATAACCTTTCAAGACATGAATTGAGGCATGCATATATACTTATATAAAGTTATATACCATTTGTATTTAAAAAGTATGTGTTTGAATTTATAAGTTTGTAAAATATAGTATGTCATTTTCAAATTCGCGTCAACTTTGGTTATTATGGTATATACCGAAACCATACCGAAATAATTTGGTATATACCGAAACCAAACCGTATTTTAATATCATGCCGTATAAACCGAAGTATTAATACCGTACAAACCGGAAAACAGTATAAACCGAACCATGCAAACCGAATAAACCGAACGCACAGAGTGACCGATTAGACGCACCTTTTTTTGAACCTTTTTACATAACAGATAGATTTAGTAAAAACTCTAGATGGGCGGTCGGCGGCGGTTAGCAAAATGCCCTATAACTGGCACCTGGAGGGCCAATAAGGTTTGCCGTTTAATGCGAGCTCCTATTTTCCAAATCTTGTACGGCGCCTTGCGGAATGGGAAGACCCATCTAAGGTTGTAGCTGGAGAAGTTGGTGCCAGTTTTGGGAAGCTGCTGACAGCTCCGGTTGTTTTTTCCTTCTTTTTTGTTTAGGTATTCTGCATAGTTTTGTTTGATTTTTTCTTTTTCTTTATCTGTTTATTTTTCTTTTTGTAAATGCCTAAAACTTTTTCAATTTGATTTTCTTTCATATTCGTGAACTTTTTTCAAAGTTCATGATTTTTTTTCCAAATTTTTGAACTTATCTCATTTCATTAACGTTTTTCAAACCCACATGCTTTTTTCAAGTTTGATGAACCTTTTTGCAAAATCCGTGAACCTTTTTCCAAATTTCATGGACTTTTTCATGAACTATTAATTCATAGAACTTTTTTGCACATCTATGAACATTTTTCAAATCCAAGGTTCTATTTCATTTTTTTCAAAGTTACCAGATACAATTAAGAAAAATTCAAATGGTTAACCAATCTGCGCCAGGGAAGTTTACCAGCGCTAAAGAGGAGATTTCCGAGAAACCCTATTTGGCTCTGCAGGCGCCCATTAACGTGCATTTTGCAAACTGGCGCTTGCAGCGCCCCGCACTGGGCCGGGCCATTCGAGAATTTTCCTATGTTTCTCAAAAATGCCAAAATACGTGAACCTTTTTCCAAGTTTCATGGACTTTTTTCATGAACTGTTAATTCATAGAACTTTTTTGCACATCTATGAACATTTTTCAAATCCAAGGTTCTATTTCATTTTTTTCAAAGTTACCAGATCCAATTAAGAAAAATTCAAATGGTTAACCAATCAGTGCCAGGGAAGTTTACCAGCAAACCCTATTTGGCGCTGCAGGCACCCATTAACGTGGATTTTGCAAACTGACGCATGCAGCGCCCCGCACTGGGCTGGGCCGTTCGAGTATTTTCCTCTGTTTCTCGAAAACGCCAAAAACTGCTTGCTGCAAGGTTTGACCGCAAAACCTCTCTCATCCAACCGCTACGCACTAACTACCTGGCCATCACCACGCTTGTGCACAAAATGTCCGTTTCTCATCTTATATTCCTTATTCAGTTCCGTTTATTCTTTTTCTTTTTTCTCATGCTTTTTTGTTTTCTTCGTTTTATAAAGTTTTGGACCTTTTTCTAATTTTTAGAAGGTTTTTATAAATTCATGAACTTTTTTTCAAATTCGATGAACTATTTTTTAAATTTGATGAACTTTTTTTTAATTTTGATGAACGTTTCTCAATTTCGATGCACTTTTTTCAAATTCGGTGAACTTTTTTCAAATATGGTGAACTTTTCTCAAACTCAATGAACTTTTCTCAATTTTGATGAACTTTTTCAAATTCGATAAACTTCTTTCAAATACAGTGAACTTTTTTTTCAAATTCGATGAACTTTCTTTCAAATTCGGTGAACTCTTTTCAATTTTGGTGAACTTTTTTTCAAATAAGATGAACTTTTTTAAATTTCGATGAACTTTTTTCAAATTCACAACCTTTTTCTATTTTTGTGAACTTTTCTTTTGAATTCATGGTTTATGTGAATGCATTTTCATGTTTATGTTTTCTTTATTCAAATATAATTTATAGTGGGTATATAATAGTATATGTTTAATGTTTATACTGAAGGAAAGGTCAAAGCGCTGTTTCGCGAAACCTAAGAAGTAACTGACGGTGGTGCACTAGTTAGCTCCTGTTCAGTCGACGTGGTCGTCGTGAGTTTGATTCCCAGTTCTCTCGAGATTTCCTCATACAGCAAAAAGAGCAGCGACACACACATGGGTGACCGACTAGGCCGACCCATAAGCAGGCACCACACATGACACTGCAACAAAGCTTTTTTGGCACCAGAGCATGGTTTTTGCACTGTAGTGGGCGAGTTCAGTATAACATTCCATCTACTGTATCAAACTGGACCGTAGAGAGTTGATTTTTTGGTCTACTGTTTTTTTACTTCGAATGGTTTCTGGAAAATGTGGATTTTTTTTTTGAAATTCCCAAACATCTGTTGAGAACCCGAACATCTTTCCAACTTGTGACCAAAGTTTGGAAACAGGAACATTTTATGAAATTCTGGAATATTTTTTGAATTTATGAAAAAAAATCAAACATGTTTTGAAATTTTTAACATTTTTTAAATTTCAAATATTTTTCGGAAATACAGATTTTTTTCAATTTATGATTCCTTTTAAACGGAACATTTTATGAAATTCAGAACAATTTTCGAAGAACATGATTTTTTTTAAAACATGATTTTTTTTTAACTTTTGAACAGATGTTTGTTCTGAAATATGCACAAGTGCGTGCATCATCTATTAAAGATAGAAAAGACAAAAGACTAGGTAGGCCAAATACAGTTACACGACCACCCAAAGATTACATGCGTGCCTAAGGCACAAGCACGCTCAAGAGCCCAAC